AAAAACCCCCCCCGGGGCAACCCCGGCCCCCCTTCCGTGGCCGCCGGCAGGGAGGGACACACAGCGTGGGGCCGGCTACCTGCCGGGACACCAGGACTCTGGGGACTTGCATCCACCATCAGAATGATTCAATATTTCCAAATGGCACCGAAAAATAAAACATATCGCCCCAGGATGAGCATCAGCAACGCTCCCACCGCACGGAGCGAAGAGTTCTTTGGGGGAAGAGGCAGGCGCAAAGCTGCTGCAGGGCAAGGCGGGCTGGGACGCCGTTTGCTGCCTTAAAAAAGGCAAAACCAGGGAAAAAAGGGAGGTTTTAGGTCAATAGAAAACGCACACGGGACATCACACTTTTGCAGCCCTGAGCCCTGGCGTTGGGTTTGGTTTTTTTCCCCTTCTTTTCCTCCTGGGCTCTTGGGGTTGATTTTTTTTTTCCTTCTTTTGGGCTGAAAGCGTTGTCTGGGCCTGGCGATGCCTCGGAGTGAGGTGCCCGCAGAGACAAAGCCAAGGGGACTCACGAGCATCTTTTACCCACTCAGGCAGTAATTAACAGCACTAAGTTGTCAAAACAAGACAAAACGATGATTTTTGCCAGGTTTATTGGCAAAGAAATCTTCGAAGGGGCCCCATCTATCTGGGTTATGGTGACGGGGAAAAGATATTTATTCTGATGCATTATGTAAATCAGCACGGGGTAAAAACGTGCAAATCATCGGCATGGGTCGTGCGTAATTAAGCCGGTCGGGTCATTCCCCTTAACGGGGATGGGGTTTGCGCTTGGCTCGAGCTAAATCCCTCCAGAGGCTGGTGGGCGGCCGGATTTCGGGTGCAGAGCCCCGATCCGCACACCTTTGCTGCTGCAGGGACGAAGGTCCCCGGGAGTTGGGCTAACAAGCCCCTAATGAACCAGTGGCCGGCGTGGCGGAGCAGCTCGGTGGGATTTCGTCAGATATTTAGATACTGTGACCAGTAAGTGCGAGGGGGAGGGCGAGGAGGTGCAGCCCAGCACCTTGCCATGGGGCAGCGGGGCTGGAGCAGGCGGCAGGGACGGACACGGCTCCTCCGGGCTGCGCTGGCACAGAGCGCCTTGGGGACAGGGCCAGCCCGGTCCCAGGGCCAGGGGGGCTCCGGCTCTGGGGTCAGGGCTGCTCCATCCCTGGGAGCTCTCTGGGATGGGGAGCCCAAATCTGGGCATCAGACCCATCCCTCCTCGCTTCCCCTGGGAGCAGCCCCAAGGCCCAGCGCCTTGGAGCCCCAGGGGACACCTCGTGTCCCCCGACGCGGGGCACCCCCACCGCCCGGCCCCGCAGGGACCACGGGAAGGGCCAGGACGGGGCAAACCAAACCAAGCGACTTCCCCGACCACCTCCAGCAATAAACACCCATCTATTTAACCAACCTCTCCCCGATTTTAACATAAGTAGCCAGCAGCCTGCCAATCAATGCCAGCTCCCGCGGATCACCGGTAATGGATCGCTGTTCAGCCGGCTGTTATTGAATCGATACAGAAATTAAAATGCATTCACGCCATTCTTTCTCAGTTGTCATCTTATCTCGGCGTCTAGCGAAAAGCGCGGCAGATTACAGAATCCATCTTCATTTAGCCTGTGTAGCTCGCAAAATTCATAATTAACAAAAAATTCCTATTCACTTGCTCATGTAATTTAATTAGTTTTCCATTAAATAGAGACTAAATATCATCTAATCCCCCAACAGAGCAAATAATTGTTTTCCATTCTTTTAGAAATTATCACGTGCTTATTGTAACTATCAGAATTCATTAGAAGCCTCCGAGCGGCAGCGGGAAAAGGTGGGCAAAGCGCTGGGGGACGGACAGGGAGGTGGTCAGAGGGGGTGGCAGGGCCAGGGCTGCCCTCGGCGGAGCCGGGACCTCCCGGTGATGCCCCCGTTGCGCCCAGCACGGGGATCACCAGCACCCAGCGCAGGATCCGGCCCGCTGCCCCACGCCGGAGTGCGCTGGGTACCGCAGCCGCCTCCGGCCGGGATCGCTCGCTGATGCTGGTGTTGCTGAAGGGTCGAGGACCGGGATGGGGACGGGGGATGAGGATGGGGACGAGGATGGGGACAGCCACGTGAGGCCACGCGGGGTCACTGCCAGTCCCTCCCAGGCCCCTCCGAAAGGCCGGGAAGCAGCCAGCAGCCCCCTGCCAGAGCAGCTCTATCCCACAGAGGCCTTTTATCTGGATCCCGGGACAGATTAAATTTATTGTGGAAATCTCTCAAGCAAATACCTCCCTTGGAGGAATAAACCTGTTCAAGAAAACAATTTTCTCTGCGCTCGGATTATGCCTTTAACGATTTGCTGCTGCGATGCCCTGGAGCTGGCACGGCTCCGGCGTGGGATGGGAGCCAAGAGGGGCCCGCGCTCGCCTGGCTGCGGCTGGCAGCAGCCGGGAACCGGGGGGCAAGCGGCCCCAAATCCCCCCAGGTGCTCGGCTGCCTGGTGTGGGGCATCGCCCTGCCCCCGAGGCCTGGTGGGGGCGCTGGCCCTGGCAGTGTCTGGGGGGTGCGTGGGTACGTGTGGGTGCACGTGTGCGGGTGCCTGTGCATCTGGCTGTGAGCGTGCATGTGTGCGTGCATGTGTGCATGTTTGCACCTGTCTGCACGTGAGGGCATTTGTGTGAGCATGTGTACGCATGGATGTGCATGCATGTGTGTCCACACGCGTGTGTGTATGCACAAATGTGCGTGTGTGTACACATGCACGTGTACATGCCTGCATGTGCATGGGCTTGTGCATGCACATGTGCACGCGTGTGCATGTACATACATGTATGCACACGCAGGGCGCAGCCGGGGAAGGTGGCACGGGGCCAGCTGCGCTCACCGATGCCCCGTGGGGCTCTGCAGAGCATTAAACCTGCTGAGCTCCAGGTACCACCCCACAGCAACTTATATTAAATCTGCAAACTGTCCCGACAGCGCCGCAGTTACGATCCACTGAGCGCATGTCCCGTTAGGAGCAGGCAGGTGCCTCTCCTAAATCGGCTTTCGGGCTCTCCCCAGGGGCTGGGCCGTTGGCACGTGGTCTGATCCATCACCGATGCAAGCGGCTGGGCATCGATCCGGCCTTAATTGCGGATGGTATTTGGCGGCGGTAACTCAGAGCTGCGACCGCCCACGTCTCCCTCCTCACCCTGCCATTGCCATCAGGTGTTTCTTTGATCTGCAAGTTCCCCGGCGCTGGGGAACAGAGATTTATCTTGCAGCACTGGGATGGGCGCAAGAACCTGCCTGGGAAGCTGGGCTGGGCACTCACTGCTGCGGTGAGTTTGCTAGTGCTCAGGTGGCAGCAGTGCGTGCAGCAGGGAGATGCCCTCAAAGCAAAGCGGCGCCCGGCTCGATCTGCCCCGCTGCTCCCGCGGGGCCGGGGGATTTAGCGTTAATCCGGATCATTTCCCTGATCTGGGTCACAGCTCCATGGATGCCTGTGCCAACGTGATGGAGGGGTGTCTGAGGGCAGAGGGGACACCCGCTCGCCCCTGGGTGGGGTGCGGATCCATCCAGCCCGCACTGCCTGGTGCTGGGAGCTGCCGCCTGCTGAGCGGCCTGCACGGGACCCCCAGGTTCCACGGAACCCCCGGGGCGCAGCAACCGCTGCCCAACAAAACCCTCCAGGACTCAGGGCGGCAGGCAGAGACGCCCCTCCCTTGCTTCCCTGCAGGTTCCTGGGTTGGGAATTAGGAAAAACAAAAACCCAAACCCTTTTTTTCTTCTTTTAAACAAGCAAGATTCAGTAAACTGCAGGGTTATCATCCCAGCACCGCCAGCTCAGCCCTGAGAGTCTCTCTTCCCTCTGACACTTGGGCATATATTCAAATAAAACCCTAAACCCTCAAGGATTATAACAGCGTCTAATAAAGCACTAAATCCACGTGCCGGCACCCTCCTTGCCCAGCAGCCCTGGGTGCGGGGACACAGGCACGGTGTGGGTCCCCGGGCACAGGGCCCCCACGCCAGTGCCTCTGGGGAGCTCCATCCTGAATCGCGGCTGGAGTCCCAGCTCTCATTTACATGCGTTTCAGGGCACGTTATTTAATACTCCGCAGAGTTAAAAATAAATCTGCCTCCAGCTCTCCCCGCCCGCCTCTTCAGCTGAAGGGTGATTTGTTTGCATTCAGATACATTCATTCACTGTGATCTGGCGAGGGGTCTTCCCCTGTCTGCACCATCACCTCCCCGATGCTGGGCTCCGGCCGGGCACGGTTCCCCCCAGGGGGACAGCAGCGGCACGGGGATGACCGCAGAGTCCCAGGGCTGCAGCAGCCGTTCCTGCGGGCTCCTGCCTGCCGTTCCCGTTGGGAATCGGAGGAATGACGGGAGGTGGATGTCGGCAGCCGACAGGGACCAGACCCGCGCTGGTGAAGCTGAGCTTCCCTGGATTTGAGCTCTGCTGAGTCCGAGCATTCAAACCTGATGCTCGAATCCATCAACCCATGGATGAACAGGGTCAGTGAAGGAGGCACAGTTGGAGGCGATGGTTTCCCGACAGTGAAACCCGTCCGTGCTCTCCACCCCACCTCTGCCTGCACCCAAAGTGACTTTAACTGCGATGATTTAGGAACCAGGAGCCGAGACCAGTTCTGCTCCAGCCCCAAGGGCTTCAAGAGAAACACTGCGGTGAGCGAGGTCCTGCAGCCCCGAGGGATGGGGCAGCCTGCAAGACAGAAGGACACGGCGCTGGGACAGGAACCATCCCGGGTGACGGGGACCAGGGACAGTGCCACACCCCCCACACCCAGGAGACATCATCTCGCCTCCTGGGGAACACGCAGCCACGTTTCCCTGCCTCCTTAAAAGCTGACGGGTCTGGTTTGGCCCCAAATGTGCCATCCTCCATCTTTTCTCTTCTGCCCACTGCAGCAAAGCAGGGCAAGACACGCTCTCAAGGGGACACTGCGCTTCTTCCCTTTTCGCTGCACAAACTGTTCCCATTTCCCAGCTCTTAAATACCTGGCAGCTGCAGCAGATTCCTCCTGGTCAAACGCTGGCCGCGCCTGCGTGGGACAGTCCTAGGGCACGGCACCGCTGGGGTGGGAGCATCGCGTGTCCACGCTCCATCGTCCCAGCTGAACTGCAGCCCTCGGGCAGCCTCCTCTGGGATGGGGCAGAAAGGCAGCGAGAGGTGAGAAACGCCTGATACAACCTGAGCCAAGGCAGAAAATGGGGGGGAAAAAATGAGGAAAAAGGATGAAAGCTGAGGCGGACACATTCAGAAGAGAAATGCAGCAGGTTCTCATGGCAAGTTAACATCAGACAATGACCTGTGGCATGGGGAACCCTCCCGGCGTGTTCTCACAACCAGCCGAGGCTCAGCCCGGGTCAGCCGCAGGTGTGTGAGGTACGGACCTAACCTGCTCCAGGAGCGGCCGCCATCTCGGACCACCCTGCTGCCAGCCTGCCTGGGGAGAGGGGAACACGCGGCCAGGCCGGTTCCCCCACTGCTGAGCTCTGAATACACAGCGCCCGTCACAGAAAACTCACTCCCTTCACATTTATTTATAGCAGGAGGCTGGATTTTACTCAAAACATGAAAATAGGATCCAGCAGTAGCCTAATAATTATTTCAAGTGTGGTCATTTTTATTGCCGTGAATAAAAAATAAAGCTGCTCTTCTGAAGTTAACGTCTATGGTTTCCCCGGGTTATATACGAGTGAGAGCCTTGATTTAATATTGTACAATAGAAAAGTAAACCAGAACAATAAATCCCACTCACACGGTTCTTGTAAAAAGCTATCTATTTCAGTTTTGACCGTATAAAAAAAACAACAAGAGAAACTGGACAGGGAATATACAAGCCACATACGGAATTTAAACAAATTTTACCAATTTCAAGTGATCTGGGTAAGGGTTTAATAGTCGGTGGTACAGCCAAAACGAAATTCTTTTCAATTCCAAATTTTCCTTCCTCCCCGAAGAAGGGGGGGATGGAAAAAAGCTGTACAGCGAGACCAGGCAGACATTACAGCCTGCGAGAGGGCGGCTTGTCACATCAAGCTGCTTCAACGTTTTCCCACCGCCACAAGTGTGAGGGGGGCTGGCACCGGTGAGAGGGAAGCCAATCCAGCTTCTGCAAACCAAGGATCGCGAGGGCACGAATCCACCGTCTCCTCGTCGGCTTCACTGGATCTCCCCCATGTACAGTCTTTTGTCGCTGGACGCGGAGAGTACTGCGGGAGAGAGAAGGGGAAGGGAGGAACGTGAAAATTAAAGGCGACAGTTTGAGACCTCCGCTAACGACACACCCTTTGAATCGAACGACTCATTTTGCTTGCTGTAAGTGATCTAGAAAGCCAAATTTCATTTGCTCCCCAAAAACACTTCATGGATTTATGACTCTGACACCTGATCACATGCCGCACGTTGCGGCTGCCATTCCCCCTGTCCCGAGGCAGGCGTAATGGCGTACCGCATGTAATGTCTAAGCATTAAAATGGTAGAGAGAGGCGCATAAACACGCTGTTAACGCTCTCAGGCATCCTGAAGCGTTATTTTCATTGCAAGGAGCGTTCAGATTGCAAACCTGGCACTGCCGTCAGGCCTGCATGCCGCTAGAGGGCACAGGCTGGCCAGGAAAGCCCCGCCGGCACGTCAGGGTTTTATCAGAACAGGCGAAACGCGGCTGGCGCCCAACTACAGCACGCCACCGAACCACCTTCACTCCGAAAAGGCTCTTCAGGGGATTCAAGACACAAGCATCAAGAGAATGACCCAGAAGCGCTGCTCTTGACACTGACAGCAGTTTCATTCCAGTCCAGGAGAGATTTGGGGAATTTCTACGTGAACTCGCCCCCTCCCGTGTGGATGAGTATTGCGAAGCGGGTGCAGCGATTTACAAGATTAATGTTCCCAGATGTTAACAGAAATCAATTGCATAACTCGCATGCAACGCCTAGGTAGGTTTTTAATTTTTATTTTAAGCTGACTGATTGATTCACAAAGAGGAGCTCAGCAGAAAACAACTGCAACCAATCCGCTCCAAACTGGAGAGGAGAGATCGCTCCGCTCTGAATCCGTCTCCAATCTGAAGACAGGGCAATGAATAACCAAGGAACAAACCCATAACTCACTGCCCTGCTGCAGAGACTGTCATCCTCGGCACAACCCAGCTTTTGGCTTCACTCCGGGGTTGACTCTTGTCAAATTTTGGCTGGAGCAACGTGGTGACCTGGCCGATGGTGCAAGTGTTTCCATAGAAACAAACAGCACCCTACGGTCCTGCCTGGGCCGCACACTGCGCTAAGAAACCTGGTCCTGGCTAAAGCACGGGGGTTAAAATGGTTCTGAAAAAGCCACCAGCGCTGAAACGTGGTGCCACGTGCAGGATACCTCTAGAGCGGGGACAAAACCCGCCGCACAAAGAGCTTCCTTTGCTTCCTACAGCCCAGGACCCCAGGGCATGCCCAGCCCAACTCCACTCTGCAGGAGAGGAGCAGGCAGGCATCTGCTAGCCCCAAATTTGTCTCTGATGCTTGGGGCTCTGGGCCACAGGCAATTTTGGGGCTGTTTTCCAGAGGATCAGCAGTTCAGCCAGCCCTGAAACTATTTCCCCAGCTGACTTGAGGTGGGGAGGACTTACTAATTGGTTCCTCTGGGTGGAAGGCCAGTTCGTTCACCGACCCAGCGTGGCCTGGCAGCTTGTACAAAATCCTCCTGGACGTGGTGTCCCACACGTAGACAAACCTACAAGAGAGTCATTATGAGAGCAGGCATTTCAGAAGGGAAAGCAGCTGCCCCTCACACCAACAGCTTCTTCCTGCAGCAGTTTACCACCTGGGCTGAAATAGATGCAGCTCTTAATGTGGATAAACAAGGAGCTTCTCAGGAGCAAAATGCTGCACTGTCAAACCCAGGAGAACAGAGGTCTGAGCAGCTAGGAGCTAACGTGTCAACTTGGTGTTGAAAGCCTCACCACCGTCATGGCACGGCAGCCCCATCGCACCCCTCGGGGCACAGAGACGGATTTGAATGCGTGAGGCCACAGAGACCCTCAATATGGCAACACCACAGTGGGCCAAGGGAGAAAATCAGTGTTGGGAGTGGGGAGGAGGGTTCTCACCCTCACAAGTACCTGCCTGCAAGCCCGGCGGCCACCTGCGGTTCAGGCTGGCAGGCAAGCGGCGAGGAGCTCGGGTGCTCCCCCAGCCCCTGCTACAGTGTAATCCCCCACAGCCAACAGCTTTATGTACAGATTTCTTCCTGCTGTGCCATTAAAGTCATGATTCCCTTCCCAGCACTTATTAGGGGGCCGATCGGATTGCACCCAGCCCTTTGGTTATCCTCCTGCAGGCCTCGCCGCGGGCTCCCACCGCTGCCTGAGCACCGCCCCTTGGCTGAAGGGCAGCGCAGAAGCCACCGGGATCCTTCAGGCAGGGGGTCAGAAAGAAACTGCGGGCACCAGGCACGGATCAGCTTTCAGATTATTCTTATAAATGGTCTCAGAGAGTGGGGGAAACGGTGCCTTGCTGCAAATCACACTGTACCCGAGGTCACCGCTTGTGCCCCACGGGTGTTGATTGTTGCCTGCAGTGTGGCGGCCACATGCAAGCTCCGCCGGGAAGCAGAGCGGTGCTTTGACCCCGATTACAGTAAGCATCCCGAGGAGCGGGTGGGGATTTTTAATACATCAAAAGGAGAAGAGCCCTGAGCAACATCCTAGAACCCAGGTAAAGTGACGCTGCACCCCACCTGCACGGGAACGTCGCATCCCTCCCTCCCAAACGCAATGGCCTCGCCACGTGGAACGGCATTTGTTACAAGGTTCACAGCTCTGCAAAAAAATCGGTGGCTCGGGAAAGTTGCCAGTGCTGAATTACACTCGCTCTGTTTTCTCCTTTTGCTCTTTAGGGAGGTGACTGGCAGCTCAACCAAAATCTGCTGGGGCAGAGAAGGGAAGCGGCAGGGCAGTAATTGGCTGGGTTTGGCGTGAAGGGCAGCTCTGCTGCCCGCAGGCCCAGAGGCATCACTCGGGCTATCCACTGGGGGCTGCAGAGGGCGAGGGCACAGGGGACAGCCCGTAAAACACAGGTAAAATCAATCTACTGCATTACACTCCTCCAAAGAAAGGCTGCTGCAAATGCCACTGCGCATCCCCATGTCTCGCCCGCATGAATTCATGCGCGCGGGGGATCAACAGCCCCTTCAGCAGCCCAAGCTCCGAATACCAAGGCCGGACCCTTTCAGGCTTAGGCAACACCACCAACAGTGGGTTCCTCAGCTTCACCTGTTCCTCTCCGTTTGTCAGGGCTCTGCAGACCGGACAAAACCCAAGATTTTCCTTTTACAATTAGCCTGTCTTTTAGATGAAATAGAAGCGAGCTTCTTGCCCCCCCAAAAGCACTGAATCATTTATACCACTTGCTGGCTAGGCAGAGTGGACACTGGGTACCAACACAGATCTGCGTTGTTAGGAGCGTTCATTTTCAGGCTGGTGTTATTCATTAACTTATTTTCTTTAAACACATAAAAGGGAAAAATTCAAGCCTGCAACTTAAGTCATGAATCTTAGTTAAAGCAGCATTTCTTCAAGCACAACTATTTTATCTAGCAGGCAAGAATCGTATCAAATGCTTTCTCGAAGCACTCTGCTGATGTGTTTTTAATTTGGTATCGCAAAGCAGGCAAGCACTTTAAGTAGTCGATTTTACTATAACCCTTCTGAAGGGCTCAACAGCAAAAAAAAAAAAAAAATCAGATAATTGTCCCTCCAACATACACACACACTCCACCCAGTGCAGAGGAAGAGAGTAATCACTGGGGAACTATTTTGTACTCAGACAAATGAAAGGTTTGTTTCATCTCACTTTACTTTCCCAGCAGATACGCCTCAAAAAAAAAAAAAAAAAATTAAAAGCTCAGAGATAGCAGGAAGATTTGAGTGGCCTTGCCTAACCTGCCCCGGGACCTGGCTGCGTGCTCTTCCCCACGGATGTCACCACAAAGTTGCTGTCAGACCACAGAGCTACATCGGCGTCTGCAGAACCTAACGGCCCAAGGCTCGCCGCTGAACGGATCAGCCACAGCAGGCTAACACGCAGCATTCCTCCGGTACTGCCCTGCAGGACTGGAAGGGAGAGTCACTCGCTGTGACAGCTGGCCCCGCTATATCGGAGCAGTGAGAGCTAAAGTTCTCCCTGTCCTCTATCAGAAACTCATTAATTAGCTGATTACTACTGCTCCATGCCCTGGACTCCAGCCTGCAGGAATTCCTGTCTCGATGTCACTGCGAGTGCGTCTAGATTTGCTCCAGCGAAGGCTGGTATCCTTCACGGTGACCTTCAGTGCCTGGCATGGACCCTCTGCTGGCTTCCTCCCTCTACCCGTTCTACTCCTCAGTTGCCTTAGTTTACAGAATATCTCATTTCAAAGTCCAATATGTGCTAATTGAGTCAGATCTCTATTTCTTCTTACTCGTTAATTAAATTAAGCATCAAGAATGATCCTTGGAACACCACTGGTGCCTCCTGCAAGCCGCCACGCAGCAATTTAACTGGTCTTGCGGTCCTTATCGGTGTAACCCCTCACTACACACACTTCCCCAGACTCCCCACTTCTCAGGCTCTCACAAGCATCTGCTGGTACGACCGCGAGGGTACAACCACACTCCTGTCATCTGCTGGTCCTGGTGTTGGATCCTGTGGCCGAACATAAGCAGTAAAACAGTTCTCTAGTCAGCTTTTCATAGAATCATAGAATCGTCAAGGTTGGAAAAGACCTTTAAGATCATCGAGTCCAACTGTTAACCCAGCACTGCCAAGTCCATCTATACCATGTCCTCGAGCATTGTATCTATCCGTTCTTTAAATACCTCCAGGGATGGAGACTCAACCACTTCCCTGGGCAGCCTGTGCCAATGCCTGACCACCCTTTCGGTGAAGAATTTTTTCCTAATATCCAACCTAACCCTGCCCTGGCGCAGCTTGAGGCCGTTCCCTCTCGTCCTATCACTCGTTACTAGGGAGAAGAGACCGACCCCCACCTCGCTACAACCTCCTTTCAGGTAATTATAGAGAGCAATAAGGTCTCCCCTCAGCCTCCTCTTCTCCAGACTAAACAACCCCAGCTCCCTCAGCCTCTCATAAGACTTGTGCTCCAGCCCCTGCCCCAGCCTCGCTGCCCTGCTCTGGCCACGCTCCAACCCCTCGATGTCCTTCTTGTAGTGAGGGGCCCAAAACTGAACACAGTACTCGAGGGGCAGCCTCACCAGTGCCCAGTACAGGCGCACCATC